GCCCAATGTCGAGGAATGGGCCCGGCGGCGGGGCCGAAACCAGCTGCATGCAGCAGATGTTGTACCCCCCCCCCCGCTTTCCCTATCCCCCCCTTTCGTCGGGGCCGAGATAAGATTCAAGACCGCATTCGAAAAGAAGAGTCCGAACCCCAGATTCGGAAAGTGCCCCTTGCTCTGCGCGCTGGGGGGAGGAGGGTCGCTGGTCAAAGGGAGGAGCCAGGAGGGGAGGAGGAGGAGGAGGAGGAGGAGGAGGAAGAGGAGGGAGGAGGAGGGAGGAGGAGGAGGAGGAGGAGGAGGAAGAGAAGGAGGAGGAGGAGAAGGAGGACGAGGAGGGAGGAGGAGGAGGAGGGGGCCATAGAGGAGGGGAGGAGGGAGAGGAGGAGGGAGGAGGGGGAGGAGGAGGAGGGGAGGAGGGAGAGTAGTCGTCTGCGGACAGGCAGGGATCTCTCTACGCTAGCTAAAACGAAGCTGGGATGTCATGTGCATTAGAAAGGGCGCTGTTTAAACGGTGGCCTGCCCATCTACCCTCCCACCTGCCCTCGGGCCTTTTTGTTGCGCCCTCCATAGGCCAGGACGGCCCTTCCCAATCGAAGAAGCGCCATCTTCAGGCCCGCTGGGCGCAGATAAGACCGCTACGCTGCGAAGTAGCAGTGTAATTTCAAGCGTCGAATTCACTTGAACCAGCGGCATGCCGTCGCCAACCATGCAACCATGTTGTCTTCCGACAAAGCTTTGAAGTGGCGGCGGTGTCCTGTTTGTCTTGGCAAGTGAGCAACAATGTTACCTACCTGGGGAAAGAACAACTGCTTGCATTTCGTCTCTCGCACGCCAACTTGTCTTCTGACATTACTTTGGACTGTAGCCTGCGCGGCTGAAAACGTAGGCAAATGCGGGACCTAATCAAGAACTGTTCCTCTAGATCCTCCTTCCTGGGACTTCCGCCGGGTGGCATGCAGCCAACCGAGCAGAGCTTGGCCTGTTAACCCGAGGACCGCGGGGCATGCCTGGCAGACTTCGGCGCGCCATCCGTGTCCGTGTCCGCGACGAGAGCGACGGGAACGACACGCCTCACGACACGCCCTTTCTTGATGTCCGCGGCCCGTCGCCCGAGCAGCGCCTCCTTCGCGTGGAGCAGCAGCGGGGGACAGCTGAGCCTCCGCCACTGCCGCGGACGGCCCGGGCCGACGGCGGACGCCTTGGCCGGCGCCAGCAGGGGTGCGCCCTCTCCTGGGGAAACCAAAACGTACCGATGCCACTACTCCCCAGACTTCTCCCGGGGTGCGTTCTGAACAGGATTTCGAAGCGAATCCAGCGGCGGCAACGAGGAATGGCCAAGAGGCCCAACAAGGGGAAAACGAGGGAAGGGTAGAGGTATGGGTGCCTTTTCCTCCTCTGATCTCCTCCCTCGAACAGGTGCACGATGCTGGCGGACTCTACCCAGCAGTCCCCCACGGAGCGGATGCTCTCTCGCGCACACCAGGCCAGGGGCTGATCCTCAGGGATGCTGGGCATGCCCTCCGCCCGGAACACGCGGACGCCCTGCGGGTGACGCCGATCTACCGCGACGCCGAGGGAGCGCGGGACCGAGCCGCCGCACGCCGCCGGGTCGAGCGCGTGTCTGGCCAGAGCGTCGAAGATGACCTGTACATCCTGCTAGGTCGGGCATGTCCTCCTACAGGCGGACTCTGAGCGACAAGTCAAGCAAGTACCCAGACCATACCCCGAAATGGTCAAAACAAATGGTCGAAGCATCGTCCCCAGACTGTCCTCTGACAGTTTTTGAACATGCCTACTCCAGTTTTCGTAATAAAAGGGATGGGGGTCTGGACCCTCCAAGGCAAGCCATTTCAGCCCCCCCCCCGTGGGAGAACCCTCCAAGACATCGTCCCCCCAGACCCCCCCAGGCCCTCCAAGATAGCCTGGAGGAGATTCCCCCCGAAATGAGACCCCCTCCCTTTTACTACGAAATCTGGCCTACAGTGGCGGGACATGCCCGACGGAGACGTCCTGCTGCCGCGAGTCGCCGTGCCGCCCGGGCGGCTTCCGCGCGCGGCCGGCAGTGCTGCGCGGCCCGCCGCCCGGGGCGCGGCTGCGGGGCACACCCTCGGCAGCGCGGGCCGATGGCCCCAACGCTCTCCTTTTTGGAAGCCGTCCCCCCTCCCTCCACCCCCATCTGCGCGACGCCAGAAGAGGGGGCGGGCCTGTCCCCCTACAAAGGGAGCTTGGGGGAAACATCAAAAATACGCAAAACAAAGTTCAAAATGGTCAAGAAATACTGGAAACAAATCCCCAGACTATAGAGGGACAAGCCAGACTTAAATCTGGGGGATATCATGGACCCCGCCATGAGATCCCCCTCCCCCCCTTTGGACGCCCGAAATGGATACGGAACACATGGGTACAATGCCCAACAACAAATGTTGTCCCAAACCAACAGCAGCCGCTGTTTGGCAGGCGGCCTTCTGTCTCGAATGGACACAGGCCGCGGCGGCGCGGACAGCGAGTCCTGTTCAGGATGAACAGGAACTGCTGTTGGGCATTGTACCCATTCTTTCGGTACCCATGTCGGGCGTCCAGACTCCTTTAGTCCTACCACGACATGTTCTCAGAACCCGAAAATGTTCCAAGAACAGAAACAAATGCTCTTAGAACATAAACCCGATGTGTTGACACAAGACAGACTCCGCCAGAAATGATCTAACAGCAGTTCGTGGAAACCACAGAAGGTTCTTAGAACATTATTTGGTGGGACGATAAACGAGCCAGGACGCTTCGCCACTGCTTGACTCCTGGCGACGCGGCCTCGGGCAAGGGCTGGAGCCGGCGCCACCACGAAATCGAAGTCTGCCTCCTGCTCCGCGCGCAGCAGGCCCAGCCCGCACGTGGCGCCGCCCATGCCCCGATCTCGAAGGGAATCCCGGAGCACAAATCTGCGCATCTGAAATTTTCTGGGGGGTCCCGCAAGGGCTTGGGCGAAAAATGGCTCTGGCGCCACTCCCGACTCCTGCTGTCCGGGCCCCCGGTGGAGCCTCCACCAGGAGTAGCTGTCGGCGCACACGTCATTATCCTGATGCTGCCAAACGAGAGAGGGCTGATCCCCAGCTCCTTCACCAGCCATCTGCGGGCTGCGGCGCTGCTGATGCTGTTCCTCACCCCCTGATCCACGTCTGTAGGGCGGTCTTGGCGGCGGTCCGTCTGAGACTTCCTCATAGTGGATCGTTCTCAGCATGTCTATCGCCGTAGCGACACGCAAGATCATCCCAACAGTTTCTAACAGCTACGCGATTTGATGATTGAGGGGGTTTCCTTGTCACACTGTGTGGCTCTCAGAGTAGCGTCGAGCACATCCACCTTATCTGATCCCAGACGCCTCAAGGACTTCGAGCAGATCATTTTGAACATCTGGGTATCGCATGAGTCTTCTTCAGCAATCTTCCCAGAATCTTGGAAGAGTGTAAGAGTTACGCGAATGGAGGCAGCTATTGTTCCACATTGTTGGATGCTCGTTCTGGGGACCTTCCTGGAGCCACTCGCTCCATTCGTGCGTCGAAGCTGCGTCGAACGTCAGTCGAACCTGAGTCGAACCTGAGTCGAACTTGAGTCGAACAGGGGTCGAACAGATCCATTAGGTGGGCTCCAAGAAGGTCCCCGAAACGAGCATCGAAACATTGAGCTATCGCTGGGTTGCTGAGACCTCATGCGACGCTGGGTACATAATCGTTCGACGGTACAGGGCCCCGAGAGGGCCTCGAGAGGCCGAGACCTGCCAACAGGCTCGGTCGTGACTTGGTTCGAGCTGGCGGCGCGCACAAGGGGGTGGACGGAAGCTGGAGGGCTTCTTAGACGGAAACTGCTCCTCAGAAGGCGCTGGCCTTGCATCTATCATTGCACCGACCTTGCCGACATGCTGCAGCAGATTTTTGGCCTGGATGTCTGCCCATGCTAAACCCCGAAACGGCGAGCGAAAAACGAAGTGAATTTCACGTACGTGTTTCTTAAAGTCTTCATTCCTGTCAACACCAAATCCGCACGGACCCTAACTTCGAAATCCGGACCGAAATTCTCAAGGACACTCCGGGCCCATCCTACTATTTTCCGAGCGAGATGCGCTCTGCGATGTCGGCTCCATGACTTCTATAGACAAGGCCCGCGTCTTCTAAGAAGCAGGGCTGCTGCTAAGAAAGAAGCCCTACGGCAGGTTCGCGTCGTGTCGACCCCGGCATTGGTTCCTGACACCGCGGGGATCGTTCAACCTTGAACGATCGGCCGTTTCCGAAATGTCCAAATCGTTGCGGACACGGGCGGTCGTTCAAGGTTGAACGCAGCGGCGGGTCGCCTGCGGCGTTCAACCTTGAACGCAGCTGGCAGGGTCGCCGCTGGTCGACACGACACGAACCTACCGTTAGGTCGGGCATGTCCCCCTACAGGCGGATCTTGGGCGAATCTTTCAAACAAAGAAATACCCCCAACTTGTCCAAACGTAATATAAACAAATCGTCCCCAGACTGTTTTAAACTGCTTTTGGGCATTCCTCCTGCAGAGGGAAGTGCCCGACTTCAACCTGCCGTGCCCCCTCGCCCCACGCCCCCACCCCTGCGCGTCGCCGCGCAGGTGGTGGGGGGGGGGGGGGCGAGGTCTCCGCTCGCCCTGCTCCGGGCCACAGTGCCGGAGCAGCAGCGAGCGAAGGGAGGAGGAGGAGGAGGAGGAGGAGGAGGAGGAGGAGGAGGAGGAGGAGGAGGACGACGAGGTGCATGCGCCCCTGCGCGCGCCGCGGCGCTGCTCTGGGCCCGCGGCGCTCCGTTCTCCCCCGCAGGAGGGGCGGCCCCCGCGCAGGCGCCGAGGCCTGAGGCGCCGGCCGCGAGAGACGCCGACGTGAGGGAGAGGGGGGGGCGTCCAAGAGTCGGCCACGCGCAGAGGGGGGTGGGGTTAAGTCGGGCGTGTCCCCCTTTCAGGGGGATCTTCGACGACAAATAATTAAAATACCCCGAAAATACTCCCAAATGGCCAAACAAAGATTCAAACATAGCCCCCAGACTATTTTCTACTATTTTTGGATACTCCTCCTGTAGAGGGACAAGCCCGACTTCAGGGTGGGAGGAGGGGGGAGGGCTTCTTAGAAGCACCCCCGCTTCTCAGAAGGCGCGGTCCTCGTGTATAGATGTGAGGCCGCCGCCTTCTAGGAAGCGGCTTCCTTCTAAGAAGCCCTCCCCCCTCCCTCCACCCCCATCTGCGCGACGCCAGAAGAGGGGGCGGGCCTGTCCCCCTACAAAGGGAGCTTGGGGGAAACATCAAAAATACGCAAAACAAAGTTCAAAATGGTCAAGAAATACTGGAAACAAATCCCCAGACTATAGAGGGACAAGCCCGACTAAATCTGGGGGATATCATGGACCCCGCCATGAGATCCCCCTCCCCCTCTTTGGACGCCCGAAATGGATACGGAACACATGGGTACAATGCCCAACAACACATGTTGTCCCAAACCAACAGCGGCCGCTGTTGGGCAGGCGGCTTACTGTCTCAAATGGACACATGCCGCGGCGGCGCGGACAGCAAGTCCAGCTCGAAATGAACAGGAATTGCTGTTGGGCATTGTACCCATTCTTTCCGTCCCCAGTTCGTTCGTGCCGACGACTTAAATCTGGGGGGATCTCATGACCCCCGCCATGAGATCCCCCTCCCCGCCTAGTCTTACGTTGTTCCCATCGTACTTAAGGACCACATCCCAGGAATAATTTCGAGCACCCGGAAAAGTGTCAAACAGTTTCGAAACAATGTCGAAACAATGTCTCCCAGGGCCCGACACGTGCAAACCCTCGAGTTTGGGTTCTTTTCTGGTGCTCGGAATTCTTTCTGGTGCCCAGGCTAGAGTAGGCTGGAGCATCAGAGCCTGGTCATCCCCCCCCCTCACCCCCCCTCGGTCATCACCCCCCCCCCCCCCCCCCTCCCCCTCCCCCCCTTCCCACCCCCCTCGTCATCACCCCCTCCTCCCCCTCCCCCCCGTCCCCCTCCCCCCCCCCCCCAGCCCCGCCATGAGATCCGCCTCCCCCCGCTCGTCATCCCCCCCCCCCTCTCCGCCGCCCCTGGCCTCCGCGAGGGGGCCGCCGAGAATGCGGCCGGGCCGCGAAGCCCCTCGGGGGGATGGCGGCCGGGCGGCAGCCCCCTGGGGAGGCCTGCGCGGGGCCTTCGTAGGACTGGCAGCTGGCCTCGTGTGCGCGTGCTGCGATGTCGTATGCCCTCCTCGTCCTCCTCCTCCTCCTCCTCCTCCTCCTCCTCCTCCTCGTCCTCCCCCTCCTCCCCCGCTCCTCCTCCTCCTTTTCCTCCTCCCCCGCTCCTCCTCCTCCTTTTCCTCCTCCTCCTCCTCCTCCTCCTCCTCCTCCCCCTCCTCCTCCTCCCTCCTCCTCCCCCGCTCCCCTCCTCCTTTTCCTCCTTCTCCTCCTCTTCTTTCCTCCCTCTTCCTCCTCCTCCACCTCCTCCTCCTCCTCCTCCTCCTCCTCCTCCTCCTCCTCCTCCCCCTCCTCCCCCCGCTCCTCCTCCTTCTCCTCCTCCTCCCTCCCCTGGCAATTGGTTTCGTATGCCCGGCGTGGGCGATTTCTCGTACTCGTGTGCCCGCGATTTTTCCTAGGCACGGCAGCTGGCCCACGGGGCGCCCGCCTTCCGCGTGGAGGCCGACGTCTTTCGCACTCGGCGTTTCGGCACTGGGCTTCTGTCGGGCGTGTTCTCCTACAGGGGGATTTTCGACGAAGAAAAATACCCCCCAAATATCCCAGAAAGGTCAAACAATACTCAAAAAATAGTCCCCCGACTATTTTTGGACTATTTTTTAACTATTTTGGGGGTGTTTATATTTTTTCGTCTAAAATCCCCCTGTAGGGGGACAGGCCCGACTGAACACTGGGCGGGAGGGGTGAGGGGGAGACGGGGGGGATTCTGGCTCCGGACCTCTGCTCACTGCGACTGCTCGCAACCGTGCGTCCGATGGAGGAGGGAGTCCCCCTGCCTGAAACAGACGCCGAAAGCAGCCAAAAGTCTACTCCATGGGGGGGGGAGGGGAGGGGGGGATGCGAGGGCCCGCGCCGATCGGCGAAACAATGAAAAATAACACGATCACGAAGAGCCATCGCTATCCTTAGGTCGGGCATGTCCTCCTACAGGCGGACCTTGGAAGAAGAATAACACATTGTCAAAACATACTCCAACATAGTCAAACATGCTCCAACAATCGTCCCCAGACTTGTTGTTTGACCATTTTTCGAACATTCCTCCTGTAGAGGGACACGCCCGACTTAGAGCTATCAAGCACCAGATGAAGAGGCCACCATGGAGTGAGCCCATGAGTAGGTCAGACGAGGCCAAACAAAGCGGAATGTATTGCGTAGGCAAGAGCAGGAACGATGATAGGCGATCGACCACCCATGAAAAAGGCCAGAGAGCCCGATTGGCCCAGAGTGAGCCCGGGAAAACGGCCAGACTAGGACAGATGAAGCGGGGTTAAGCGGACTTGGGAAGGACTAGGGCGACTTAGGCCGTTTTTTGGTAACGTTTCCAGCGCCGATGCTGAATTGAACCTCCCCAACAAGGGGATCCTAAGGAAGGGGAGGTATAGGCCTCCTGGGGGCGAGGGAGAGGGGATGGAGGGAGGAAGGACCGAGGAGGGGGAACGAAGAAGGAGCACTGACCTCCTCTGCGTCCTCCTCGACGTCCTCCTCCTCCTGCTCCTCCTCCTCCTCCTCCTCCACCTCCTCATCATCCTCCTTCCCCTCCTCCTTCGCCTCCTCCTCCCCCTTCTGATCCTCGTCCTCCACCTTCTCCTCCACCTCCTCCCCCGCAGCGGCAGAACGATGGCCAGCCTCCTCCACCTCCTCCTCGTCCTCCTCCTCCTCCTCCTACTGATCCTCCTCCTACCGATACGCCTCCTCCTCCCCCCCCTCCCCCGTCCCCCCCAATACCTTTAGAGACTCGAACCATGTAGAGCCGGATGTGTTTCTCAAGTGTCAACCTCTGGAGACTATGTGTAAGCCCTGGGACCATCAAGAAAGGAGTCGAGTAGAGGAAAAAGAACTATGCACATGCACCGATTCTGGCC